AAGCCAATGAAAATCCAATATCAATTCAATTTTATTCATTTCTTTTTAATTGTTAATGTTTACATATTTATATATTAATAAAATCTATAACTTGTAGAAATTATATTTCTATCAGTCAAAAGTGAGAGTCATTTTAAACATGAGTTTGATTAAGTTAAAATTTTGCTTTAGAAAAATTTTTAACTCTTTCTGACATAAATTTCTCAAGGTTTAACTCTGTTAAGTTCCAGTAATTCAATACTAAAGATTTAAACTTGAAAGATGAATCATAAATGCAGATCTTGGTCATTATTCAATGCTGTTGAGATTTTTTATTCTATATTTTAAGAATTCAATTATGCACAAGGTTATGTGAGTACCCCTTGTACAATTTACATCAATTCCAAAGCACTAAAATCGCGAATCTATCTTTCATAACATTTAGTCTAAGATACTTTTGGATTGTAATATAAAACTCAAAATAAAGTAATAGAAATTCAATAATATTTGTAAAAAAAAGGGAAATGCACCACGAAAAAGAGTAGGCAGATGTGTTGTATGAGGTTTTGTCCTTATCAAATGAGGTTGATGAAGTATTCCTCCCTATCCTGATAAACACATTGAAAAAAGAGAGAATCTAAAACTGCATAGAATTTCTCTCATAAGATCAAAACAAATTTCTTTTTGAAATAGAAAGGGAAAAGGTAGAAAACTAATCTCTGCTTGAGAAAGAATAGACTCTTAATGGAGAGAAGAACATTGAGATAATAACAGCTGTCCTCAAAAAAGTTATGGATCATGACTTTAATACACAGAATTATTCAATGGATGATTATGAAGAATTTAAAAAGGACCTAATCACAAAAATATCATTGAATAAGAAGATAATAGAATTCCTAAAATTTTTAGTTCATCTCACTGCTTTAGATGAGACATATATTTAGTGTGGATCGAATTCTCTTAATTTACTAGTTTAAATGAAAGTGGATTTGAGGGAATAAAGTTTTGAGAATATCAGGATAAGAAATACCTCTTTAGTTGGTGGAAATTTTGTAAGATGCAATTTCGATGGATCAGAATTTGACAATGTTGATATTAGTGGAATTAACTTGAATCAAGTGTTAATGTTTAATTGTAATTGGAAGAATATCAAAATTCATGAGTTAAATAAATTAGAAGGTCATAGTAGAGGTGTCAATTAGGTATGCTTTTCTCCAGATGGGAAGTCATTAGCTTCTTGTAGTGATGATAATAAGATTATATTGTGGGATGTTAAAACAGGAAAAATTAAGTCTAGAATCAAGGTAAAGGAATAAGTAAAATCAGTATGCTTCTCACCTAAAAATAGTACATTAGCTTTCAGCAGTGGAAATTGTGTATATTTATGGAATTTTAAAACAGGAAAATAAACAGCCAAATTAGATGGTCATTCTAGAACAGTTTATTCAATTTGTTACTCTCCTGATGGTACTGCATTAGCATCTGGTAGTGATGATAAATCTATCCGTTTATGGGATGTTAAGATAGGATAATAAAAAGCCAAATTAGATGGTCATTCTGGAACAGTTTATTCAATTTGTTACTCTCCTGATGGTACTACATTAGCATCTGGTAGTAGGGATAGCTCTATCCGTTTATGGGATGTTAAGACAGGATAATAAAAAGCCAAATTAGATGGTCATTCATCAACAGTTAGATCAATTTGTTACTCTCCTGATGGTACTACATTAGCATCTGGTAGTTATGATAGCTCTATCCGTTTATGGGATGTTAAGACAGGATAATAAAAAGCCAAATTAGATGGTCATTCATCATCTGTTATTTCAATTTGTTACTCTCCTGATGGTACTACATTAGCATCTGGTAG